TTCAGAGCGGGGAAACACCAGGGACACAGGGATGGGTGGGATCCAGCCAGGGGTGCTGAGGGAGCTGGCAGAGGTTCTCCCCAAGGCCCTTCCCATCACTGACCGGCAGCCCCAGCTAGCCGAGGAGGTCAGACAATCATAGAATCATAGAACGTTCAGGATTGGAAGGGACCTCTAGAAATCATCAAGTCCAACCCCCCTGTCAGAGCAGGATCCCCCAGGGCAGCCACACAGGAACACGTCCAGGCGGGTTTGAAAGTCTCCAGAGCAGGAGACTCCACACCCTCTCCGGACAGCCTGGGCCAGGGCTCTGGCACCCTCACAGGAAAGAAGTTTCTCCTCAGATTGAGGAAATAGATAGACAATATTTAAATATTGTCTGTCTTGGGTTTAATCGATCAAGCATTCAGCTATTAGTGTTGGAATTTATTGTTCTCTTGAATTGTCTAGACTATTGTAAACAGCTGAGTACGATCCACTTTTAGCACAAAGGCATTCAAAGACATACAAACAAGAATACAAGAGAATCTGTAGCATGACCTCTCACCCTGTGTGATATGTGAAACACTACCACCCTCTCCTGGATGGACCAAAACAGACTTGCTCATATTAGCCACTCTTCTTGCTGAATTTCTGAATGTACTGCCTACATTCCGGGCAGAGGCTATATTTGTTTAGTGAAAACTCTATCCCTGTTTCCAGTGTACATGCAATTAGTGTATGTGAGGATTGCACACACCAGTACAGTTTGATAATATGACATTGTATCCTCTGGAAGACCTGTACTAATAATGCTCTTTACCTGTTCCTACTGAATTGGGGGAGTACATGTGACTTTTATGCCAGTAAGGTGTTAGATAATTAAGAGTTCTTAATTCTAAAAAGGTCACAGAGGCATATTTTGCCCCCTTTCTGTTTTTTTTAATGACTTAATAAACTGTAGGGTGGCTCTCTCTCTGTCACCATTTAATTTCTAACTTAGGAATTATATCATTGGTGTCTCTTCTAGGTTTACACCTTTGAAATGGAAATCATAGAAGCAAACATGACTTTTGCAGGAGGGTACAGGTGTGAGGTGTCTACCAAGGACAAGTTTGATAGTTCTAACTTCAACCTGACAGTCAATGGTAAGATTAATTCCTGAGACCTTATTTCTTCCTTTTATTATTTTTTTTACCTTTCTGTACACCCACCAACAATTCTTTCTGGTACGTACTAGACAAGTACAGACCTGAAGAGCTACAGGTACACTTACAGACGCCCAGAGATGAGGAATGTAATGGGTTGGCAGAGATTTAAAGCGTTAAAAGTAACGCTTGGATGTCACTCAACTCAGAGCTGTGATGCTCTTAAAGAAAGCACACAGAAAGATGCAAATCAGCACAGTACTTCTCTGGCTTTACACTGATTTCAGCCCCATTCTTTATATTCTTTATATTCAATACCACTGTAATACAAGAGAAATCCATTCTTGCTTTGGCAAAAGTTCAGCACTGAAAATGTGTACCTGAAGAAAAGGGGGAACATGGAATGTTTAGACATGTGACAGTACTATCAATTCCTTTCATCCCGATAAACTCAAGTTATGCAGAAGCACCTTGTGCTATAAAATTGCTTTAAGTTTAGATTACTCGTTTTACATAGTACATGCTGCCACCCTCAGAACTACTATACTGAAAAGCTTATCAGCAACTGAAAAGTAAGTACTTTTTAACATCAGTTTCAGTGTAATGTGTTTCACTAGTTGGCTGTAGGACTTAGGAAGACAGGAGCAGCTGTGACTGAGAAAAAGCTTTTCTCCCAGTAGTAGCAGTACACCTGTTCATACTTACAGAAGCTTAGATCAGAGTGATTAAGTTCTTTCCACACAACATCCTCAATGGAGTTTTTGTACATCTCTACATATTTCCAGGAATTTACCTTTGCTGTCAGAGAATGGCTCTCTCATTAGGGTTTAAATACCCTGTGAAATGAATATTGTAAATAAAATTGACCAGCAGAACTGAAAAAAAGGGACGACGGTTTGTCATGCCACAGATTATTACGAAGCATGAGACAGAATTCAGTTATACACAAAACACTGGCTGTTGAATGCTAATTAGTGAAGGCTACACAATTAAAGATTATGCTTTGATCTTTCAATATGTAATTGATCAAAATTTACAATGTAAGAATGTGTGAGAAAAAAACGTCTGCAAAGAAAAAGCTTTAGAAAAAGCACTGTATTTTTGCATTATTCTGACTTGCTCTCCTATTCTTACTCGTCTTTTTTTGTTGCATCAGAAGCACCAATAACTGGAGACTTGGATATTCGCACTGCCTTCCGACGCATGTGAGTATGTATAGTAGGAACTTAGGTAGATCAAATTATACTTCTGTGTGGAATTCATCACTTTTCTAGACAAAACTAACTAAAAGCAAAGCTGTTGTACCAACAAGTACAAAGTTAGAGTTGTATACTAAGAAAATATTTCTATTAAGAAAATATTTCTACTATTAAAATACTATACAACTCCTAGAAATCTTCTAAGGACATTCAGACTTTGTGCTAGCATAACAATGATGCTTGTCTTCAGTTATGCAATTGATAATGTGTAAAATTACACCAAGAACTTCCCTTTTCTCCCAGGCCAGACATAGACCAACAGAGAAGGAAAAGATTCTGTGTAGTGCCTAGGCTTGATTTGACCAGACTTGAGGAACTATATGTACCTTAATACAAACATTTGCTGAACAAAGTCATGTACTTTGATCTTAATTCTGTGAGCAGCGTATCACCTTTAATATAAGCATTTTGATTTTATTTCTTTTCATGTTCTGTAATTATATTAATTTAATGAAGACAATGATACTCTGTCTGTGTAAAATCTCATATATATATATATGTATAGGTATTAGAGACTGCAAGGTATTGCACTGCTGTTGAAAGGCTATTCTCTACAACTGTAGTAGTCCGATTTGATACATGACTTAATGGAATAATATTCTCTTCTATTAGTAAACTCTGCAAAATTTGTTGGTTTTCTGTATTAATACATGAATAACGTGTTTCACTGTTGAGTATTTCTTCTCCTTTTGTGCAATTCAAATTCTGTTTTAGTTTTTATGTATTTTTCCAAAGTTACTAGACTAAGAATATTCTAACAGACATCTGTTTCTCTAAGGTAGGACACAAATTGTCTGTGGCAAGTCCTTAAGCTTTCCCCCATAAGACCTACCCTATTCTTAGATGAGAATTTTTCTTTAACATTCTATCACAAAGAACTAAAAAAGGCTTGCAGGACTTATCTAGAGTCAAATCCATCTGTAGGTAGCTGACCAGCCTTGCTGTGATGCCTGTTAAATAGAGGATGCTCAGTGCATAGCTGCATTGTGTTATTTTACTGCAGTGAAATTAGGCTTCAAGAGTTTCTCCTCTTGCTAGCACAACTAAAAGAATTTAAAATCAGTTCAGAGTTAGTCCAGCGTGAGCCACCTCGGGCTGTTGAGATTTTCAGTTTCTTCTATAAGAATGGAGCCAAACTTTGAACTGAACTGTTTAAATCTGAAGCTTTGTCTTTGATACTCTCCCTCAGGAGCATGGCAGGAGGGGGGAGACGGATGACTTCAGCCTTTCTCAGGTAGCCACTGTCAGTGTCAGCAGACAAATTCAAGTCTAACAATGAACTGCCTCTCTCTGCTTAGGAAAAGAAATAAAAGAAGCAAGAAAAGAAACCCCACTCCACGGAACTAGCTGCAACTTAATTTCCAATTAAATAATTGTTCATAGTATATAGTGTATATATGAGACAAATAGATACAAGCAAGTAGTAATGAAAAAGTAGTTTGAGAGTTCAGTGAGAGGCAGATTCATCTCCAGAAAAAGCACGTGTTTGGCAAGTGGCACCTTCTCACCACTGTTAAAAGAAAAATAACTTCAAATCACATGCATGTCTCTTCCCTCTGTTTCACACGTTCTCCTCTCCACTGAGCATATCCTGACTAAAATTGCCACTGTTCACAAAAATGTACCAACACACATGTACATGAGAATCTGTTCTTTCCTGGCACACTGAAAACAGGAACCTAGAGATTAGGCCTAACACTATACATGCTAAAGCAGTTACTAGGGTCTTATTCAGAAAAGCTAAATACTGATTGCTGGGCTTTCATAGAATCATAGAATGGCCTAAGTTGTAAGGCATCAGGGATGCCTCTCAACGAGATCAGGCTACTCAAGGCTCCGTCCAACTTGGCCTTGAACACCTCCAGGGAGGGGGCAGCCACAACATCTCTGGGCAATTTATTCCAAAGACTTGCCACCCTTGTACTGAAGAATTTCTTCCTAAGGTCCAATCTAAATCTATTCTCCTTCAACTTAAACCCATTTCCCCTTGTCCTATCAGTGGACACTCTTGTAAAAAGTCCCTCCCCAGCCTTCCTGTAGGTTCCCTTCAGGTATTGGAAGGCAGCTATTAGGTCCCCCCGAAGTCTTCTCTTTTCCAGACTGAACAGTCTCAGCTCCCTCAGCCTGTCCTCGTAGCAGAGCTGATCCAGCCCCTGGATCATCCTTGTGGCCTCCTCTGAACACGCTCCAACAGATCCACGTCCCTCTTATGGTGGGGGCACCAAAACTGGACACTACTTTCAACCCACTCTGTGCCCAGTTTGTATTTGTGCCTGGAATTAGCCTGACCCAGGTGAAGGACCTTGTAGGTGAGGGATTTTCCTGCCTCTCCTGGCAGGCACCTGCTTTCACTCCCCCTCATCCTTTAGGTCCCCTCCTTTGGCCTGATGGTGGAGGGGAGGGGATTTTCTGCTTCCTGTGGAGCTTGCTGCTTACCATTCAGGAAGTGGCTCCACTAATCTGTCTCTCTCACACACACACTCCCTGATACTCCTCAACCTCTCTACTTCATCTTTCAGCTCAGCCACCGGGCTGAGCAGATTGTTCACCTGGTCACATCTGACACAGGTGTCGTCTCCACTACCCTCACAGTCCACTCACAGTCCAATCATCTATCCCACATTTCTTGAATTTTCCTATGAGGATGTTATTGGGGACAGTACTGAAAGCCTTACTGAAGTCAAGGTGTATGACATCCACTGCTCTCCTGGATAAAGAACATAATTAAGTCATCTTCTGAGTCATTCTAAACCCATCTACTACTCCCTACAAAAATATGTAATGTACACAATGATGTAGTCTCACAAGCTATTGCCATTTCGTTCTGAAACTAATTGTGATTTTCTGTTACTATCTAGTACTGAGGGACATGAAGAAGGTGGAGAGTTTAATTTTAGCACCCTGCTGAAAAAGAGGTGAGTAAAAATCCATAGGCTTAAAGTCACCAGCTTCTGTGGAGCAACTCTGAAAACACTAAAACTACAATAAGTGAAAGTTTCACAAATACAAAATCCTTGTGGTTTTCCTAAAGCAGCTGTAACTGGAAAAAGACTGATGGGTAATTATGGCCCCAAATACTCAGCATTTACTGCATTTCTGCTAGGTTTATATGGGAGGAAGAAAAAAAAAAAGAAAAAGATTGTTCTTCCCTAAAATAGAAAAGGCTGGGACTAGGGTAATTACATGTTTCCACAACTACTTTTCATTAAAAAAATCCCAAAACACAGCAATTTATAGTCTGTAATTTACCTGTCTGGAATGCTGCCTTATATTAAGAATTTTCTGCCTTAAGTTTTCACAATACTCTAAATGTTAGTATTATCTTATTCAACTGTATATTCTATATCATATAGCTGTTTACCATATAAATAAAAATGTATTCTATGTAGTATAAACACTATATAAATATATTTTACTGTTAGAATCACAGAATGATTTGGGTTGGAAGGGACCTCAAAGATCAACTAGTTCCAACTCCCCTTGCCATGGCAAGGACATCTCCCACTAGATCAGGCTGCAAGATTGTCCATGCCATGGCACGCTTTTCCGATTCTAGTTCTTATTTCTTGCTTTTACTTTCACTTTTCTTGGTGGAATTTCCTCTCCCATTCTCATCCTTCCTTGCCATATGCATTTGCATAACTTGTCTACCTGTGCTTTTCTCTTTTTAACACAATCTCAATCTGGATTTTTTGGATTCCACTGCTGCCAACAGAGAGTAAGATTTCTATTTCATTTTATTATAAATGCATGGGTCAGAATGAATGTAAGAACCATTTGGTTTGAAATAATGCACGCATCTATCTTATGTGTAGAGCATGACAAAAATTAGATAGTGTGATAGAAAATTACCAACTGCCAGTTACTGAGACAGAAATGCTTTTAAATAGGTGAAGTTAAGGGTGGACCATTCAACACAAATCAATGTATCTCTCTGAATATCCTTCAGGTTTTACCTTCTTTTTCTTTTACAAGCAGTTTTAAATTGTCCTTGAATTTCCAGATTTTCTCTGTAACTTGCTGCTTTAAATTCCTAATGTCATAGAAATGAGAATCAGAAAAATAATTTGTAGAACATGGCTACTGGTACCTATCAAATATGTGCTGAAGTTTTGTTCCATCCATCCTTAAACATGTTAAGTCAATCTATAACTGAAGTCACTTATTCCATGGATGTGCAGGCAACTCTATTACAAAATAATTTCTTTTATTCCAAGTAAAGTTTCCGTTGCTTACAATCATCCAAGCATGCTTCCTTCTGCTCACTGCCCCTGCCCTCTCACTCTGTCTTTCTAGCTCGTAAAGTTACTATAAACACTGCCACTGGACTCATATTCTTCAAATCTAAACTTACTCAGTTTAAATTAAACAGCCTTCTGTTTCGCTCAGGTTAACTCACCCAAATTTTGGTGGGGCAAACAAGGTCCCATGAGTATGCAAAGCAATACACTGTGTATCCAACTGAAGCGAATTCTGGCTTTGCAGTAGCACTGCAGCCAGGACTCTCAAGGGGGCCAGCTACACCAGCCAGAAAGCATGCCTATCAAACTTCCTGCAGCTGACACGGATACCAAAGTTTCTTGTTTTAACATGAATCCCAGAGACGTCTGGGATGCATTAGAATGCATTAGAATTCTAAAGGAGAGAAAGTACGCCTACTGAATAATGGTAATAATCAAAACTGTACGGGTAGGAGAGCTGAAATAGAGTATTTGTACACACATTCTAATTTCTACAGAAAAGGAAAGGCAAAAAAGAATCGTTGCTCTCCTTTTAAAAAATTCACATAAATGGAGACCGACATAAAAATATTTGTATGATTTCATACAGTGACTCTAGCTGGAATGAAGTGCTAAGTATGATGAGCCCTTCTACCGCTTTTCCCTTCTGCTTTCATAATTCCTTTTGAGCAGTAAGAGAACTCTAAGAAGTAGTAAAAGCTCCAGTATTTCAAGAAATGTTCAATTTGCAGATTTAGCTATTCATTATTTGTTAGACTAAATTCAATAAGGGAAACCTATACATTTCACTGCATTTTATCAGCGGTTTTGATCTTTCTTGACTTAGAAAGCTGTTTAGTGAATTTAAGCATACTGATAAAGTTAACTGCTCCTGGTTGTTTTTCACAGCCACTTTGGAATTAATTTGTGGATCCTTCAGGCTTTGCACACCACAGATTGAAGACCACTCCTATATTAATGAGAGCTTGTAGGCATAAAAAACCTATCACGGAATTAACGGGTTCTTCATTGAAATAGAATAGAAAAAGGGACATCCTCATGCTGAGGAGCTCTCAAGAGCTATGCAGATCTAAACAGAACTGAAGAATACTCCTTTTACCACTTCTCCTTTGTCCCACCTAATTTACAAGCGCCCTTCAATGCAGAGGTAATGAACATTCCTGACATAATAAAAAGAGATTCATTTAATACTGCATCTCCTATGGCTGTAATTTAATTATCTGGCATTGACATACAGATGTCATGGGCCAAGGAGAGGTCATTGGGAAGAGGAAGGGAACAGCTGTCACAGGGCTATTAAATGGGACAGTGTGCAGAGACCTTGAAGTAGGTGACAGCTGACAGGCTCCCGTCAGTTGACAGTAATGGGATAGGAAGGAACCATCCCCAGGATGTAGAAAACTATTTTTAACCCCTCCACATATGTTTAAAACGTATCAACTGCATATTCCATTTAGAGCAAGTTCACTAAGCTCCATCTTAATGCCCCCAAATGCATAGTTAACCTATGAGGTGACCACCCCGAATAAGGATCCCCAGCAGCAGGGAGGGTAACATAAGGGTGGGAGAAACGTCAGGAGTCCAGGTGCTATATTACTTTTCGTACACTGCTTAGTTCCCGTTGGTAGTACAGGAACTAACTGTGTACTACAGCCTAACTGTGGAAACTCTGTGTCCTTATGGGATCACAGAGAACGCTTTAACAAACCCCAAATGGTGAAAAGACACAAGGGAAAATTTTGCTCAGAGGAAGATACATTTTTCCTTTCTCTTTTGGAACTTGGTTAAACACAATCCAAATTGCAACCTTTAGCTTTTAGTACCATTTTGCACACAACTTATAAACCTTTCCCTGTAAGTAGAAAATACTAGTATTTCCAGGGAAGAGACTATACTCTCACTCATGATCAAATTTCTTGTATTTCAGCCTGCATGCACCCAAACAGTATTACGAGATGTAACAGTAGATAATGCTGAGTAATGGGAAAGCTAAAGCAAAAATTAAGGAAGTCTTCTCAATAGTGAACTCACTTCAAAATCAGAAGATTTTTCTCATGATGTATTTAAAACTAATGCATGCAAAATGTTTTTGAAAATTCCATGAATAAGCCTGCTTGGACATTTTCAAGTAAAGGAGTTTATACAGATGACCATATAAACAGACAGATAGACAGAGAGACCACCAATATTTATATAATGACTGAGGGAAAATAATTTTTTAATCTGTTAGGTCTTTCTTATTTCCTATGACTTTGTATTTCCTTTTGAGATACACTTCTCTCCACAGAACTTTATTGTACTTGTACAAAGAACTCAGCACATATTAGAAACACTATATATTTCTAATTTTATGTATATATATATATA